ACGTACCTTCCAGTTCAGTTAATATTTTGAAATGTTCCCTGGGGGAAAAATAGCCTAAATACCCTGGAAGGAAATACTACTTGCCTTTTTCATCACTGGAGGTGTCTCATGGTTAGAGTAGATTCGTTCTGACTCAGCTTCTGAAAGCCAAAATGGTTAACAATATGAAAAGCAAGTACTGAACTGTCTCAGTCACTAAATTGCTGAGTATGAGGAAGAAGGATAAATTATTAGAGCAATATCCACAAAAAAAATGCAGGTGATTTTCTACTTTTCCTTTTTCTGCTACAGAAACTTATCTGTTTTGTTCAGCATATCAGAAATCAGTTCTAAGCTTTCTTTTTTTATTATCTAGAGATAGCATGCTCCAAACCAAACCAAAAAAACCCAAACAACATAAAACCCAACCCCAGAAAAACCTCACACAATAAAACAAACCAAAACAAACAACCCCTCCCCCCAAAAAAAAAAACCAAAAAAAACAAAAAAAAAAAACCAACAAAAACAAAAAAACACCCCAACCCACAAATGAAAAAAAACAAACAACAAACCAAATAACTAAAGTCCCCAAACCACACAAGAACAAAAATCCCCAAACTCCAAAACTAAAGAGCATCTCCTTGCAAACACACAGTGGTAGATATATTAATCTTTTTGTTGTTCTGGCAACAAAGACCCACACAATTTGATGATCTGGCAGTGACTCTTAAGGAAGAGAAATGAGTTTGTGAGTGTGAATCAGTAAGAACACCTCCTCTCGGCAACAGAGCCATCCCAGGTGAGGATGCTGTATTTCCAAAGCAAAGTGAAGCTACTGAAGTTTTTGCTCTGTGTGCCTGTGTTTTGCTTTTTCAAAGTGCTCTTAAACATTCCAGCTTACAGTGCCAGTGCATATTCATTTTATGAAGTAGTTATAGACCTTGAGAATAAAGACCTACATCACTTACTAATTTCTACTTGCCCTCTGGGAGTGTGCACATCTCAAAGGGCAAAATATGTTCACAGCATAATGCACTTCTGATGTTCTCAATTAGGGCAAGTTGCTAAAACTTTCTAGCAGAAGTGTAAATCATGATGCCATGAAGACAATTAGTTTTAGCAAGCAGTGAGTTTCAGGCTAGAAACCAGTCAGCTTCTTTGAGAACCCCACTTTAACTAAGAGCACATCCTAATTTGGAAAATATGGGCAATGCTGAGAAAGGTAGAAATGCAAATAAAGTTTTGTTTGCAACATATTTAAAGGCAGTAAACCCCAGAAGACATCTTCAGTAAGTTTTAAGGCTACAAAGAATTGATCAAAGAGAAGGGTTTGGGTTCATCAAATGGGAGCAAGTCAGAACACAATCAATCAGGGCATTGAGACCACTGTTAATGAAAAGTCAGGCACCACAGACCCTGGTT